ATACAAGCCATTCATCTTAAGGTTACTCAGATGTAGCGAACACTTTACTGTTAAGATTGTTTTTAAGGGATTTTAATATTTGTATTGTTTTATTTGTAATGAGAATGAGAAGGGAGCCCTCACTGGAGAAGAAGACCCTGATGCTGGGAAAGACTGAAGGTCAAAGAAGACGGGGACGGCAAAGGATGAGATGGTTCGACAATGTCATAGATGCAACGAACATGAAATTGAGCAAACTTCAGAGGATGGTGGAAGACAGGAAGGCCTGGTGTGATCTGGTTCATGGGGTCGCGAAGAGTCGGACTCGACTGTGCGACTGAACAGCAACAAAATTTGTATCGGCCTGTAGGCCGTCTTTTGTAAGCCGCCCAGAGCCTGTTTACAGGGTGGGCGGGGTATAAATGTAAATATAAATAAATAGGAAAAACGTTTTCATGGTCAGGGTGGTTCAGAGGTGGAATCAGCTGCCTCGGGAGGTGGGTGAGCTGGGGACTCAGTGTTCCCTCTCAGCTGAGTTAAGTGTGAGCCAGCTCACAGTTCTTTAGCCTCCGGCTCACACCTTTTTGTCTCGGCTCAGGAAGGAGGGGGCTCCAGAGCAAACTGATTTATGCCGCAGCCAAACCGCTGGCTCACAACTTTCATGCCAGGAGCTCACAAGACTCCACAGCTTAGAGTGAGCACCCCTCTAACGTCGGGCACGGGATGGCTGGCAGTGCCATGCTAAGCAGTGTCCCACCTTTCTCAGACCATGGGGGGGAGGGGCGCTCCAGTTCGGAGTGGCCCTGCCGGTCTCCAGTTCCCATGAAAACTATCGGCAGCTGATGCAAGCCTGCCCTTTCTCGTGCCCTGAAACTCATGGCCGCAGGATGGCCACAAACCGCCCAGCAGCATATGCATGGGGTAAAGAGGCAGAAGGGGATGCCAAGTGGCTTCAAGATGGGTCCCGTCCAAGGCTCCCTCTAAGCTGTGGAGTCTTGTGGGCAAAAATCCTTCTTTGTGGGCTCCTGGCATTACAGTTGTGAGCGAGCGATTTGGCTCTGGAGCCCTCCTTCCTGACCCGAGACAACAATGTGTGAGTCGGAGGCTAAAGGGCTGTGAGCTAGCTCACACTAACTCATCTTAGAGGGAACACTGCTTGTGAGCCAAAATCCTTCTTTGTGAGCCCCTGGCATTACAGTTGTGAGCGGGCGATTTGGCTGCTGCATCAATTAGTTGGCTCTGGAGCCCCATCCTTCCTGAGCTGAGACAAAAATGTGTGAGCTGGAGGCTAAAAAACTGTGAGCTAGCTTCAGCTTAGAGGGAACACTGGCTCCCGTCTGTTCACAGTGCTTAGGCGATATTGGAGCCTCCATGTCCAGACGCAGTCTACCTTCGGCTGCAGAAGAGGGATGCTGCTTGCGAGAGGCAGCCGGCTGGGCGGGTTGGCCGAAGTCAGCGGGGTCCTTCCCAGGCTGACCGACGCTGACCCGGCGGTGCCTGCGATCGATGCACCAACAGACACACAGCGGCGGCAGAGCGCGACTGGTTTTTCTCCGGCCCCGTATCTGATGGACTCCTCCTTCCCCCTTGCCACCCTCCGCGTCTCCCCGACGGGGACGCGACGCGGCCCACACTGTCCTCCTCCTCCTCCTCCTCCTCGTGGCAGCCAGCACCTGGTGGGGCAGGCGAGGCCGCCCGGGCGCCCAAGGTCAACGCGGGGCTTGGGAGGCCGGGTCTCCGGCGGACCCCGTCTCCTCCTCGCAGGGCTCCCTCCTCGCCACCCCGCCCGCCCGCCGTCGGACAGCGCCGCCGCCGCCGCCGGGGCTTCCCTCCTCGCCC